TTTAAGTAAATTTACAAGCTCAGTACTTCCACTTTTACCAGAGTATTTTTTAACACAAGTATCTGTACTTTTACTCAAGTACGGAAAGTGAGTACTTTTGCCATCTCTGTTTATTTGTGACAGATATTTCATACTTGTATCATTTATACTTTTGAAGTAAACGGTTGGACCTAATGGTGCGCTCAGACCACACACAGTAGCCATGGTAAATGTGGTGGATCTACATTCCAATACAAATTCCGTACAAATTCAAAAATATCCACCAAATATCCAAGTCCATTGGATATTTTTGAATTTTTACGGAATGACTATGACCTGGATGACTGAGAACCTTCATCAGCATTCCAATACAAACCACGTGGGGAAGGGCGGTGAAGCGGCCAGCGGTGAACTCCATGCGATGAGAAGGGTCAGTGCTTCGCCCTCACCTCGTGCTACTAGATTGAGCTGAGGTGTTGTCAAACAGCAGCACCGCACGTAGAGAGCGGAGTGGTGATTGGCTTTTTCATTTAAAATAGAATACACAGATAATAACGTAAAAAAAAAAAATAGAAATAAGGAATGCTCTAAAGAGGTATTTAGGTGGCTTTAAACATTTTTATTTAGTGTTTAATTTAGACTGACTGTTATTAATCCCCCCTTACCTCCAGCACAGAGCCCCAGATTTACAAGTTAGTCCCCCGAATCTGACTGAATCAGATGATGTTTCAGTCAGATTCCAAAAAAATTCCAGCCACTAAATTAGGTGAACATGCCCACTGTTATATTCATTACAGCACAGGAATGATATGTAATGTTATGCAATAACTTTACATCAGGAAACGAGCGCTACACTAACGTCTGCTGGGATGGTGACGTAATCGGCTTTAATTAAAACTGATTCTATCTAAAAAAACAAATCAACACAAACAACATTTTTCCTTTCCCAATTGAGGAGGCTTTGAAAAATTGGCTTGTTTATTTTTGTTTCATTTTGGGGTTTATTGGGGGGTTGTTTTCCTTTTGGTTGCCTTAAAAAAAGTTTATTTTTTTTCTCTGAAATCAGCGCGGTATGATCTTTTTTTTTTTTTTTTTACAAACCTGCACTAAAGAAGCAAAAACCATTCAGTCTATTTGCTTTTTCACGTCAGTGGCGGTGTCAGCTTTATGCAACTGAAGGTCCTCCTATTTGATGATGTGTTCCAGTCTGTAAACACTGTGCATCTGAAATGTAGAGCGGTGAACTACTTGCGGTGCTCATGCAGATTACTGCATGTGGGCAGAGAGCACCTTTAGAGGGAGAATCCTGTCTGTTTATTTTTTTTGTCATCAGGTGGATTGCAGAGGGGAAAAGACGAGAGTCAAGCTTATGGCTTCATTACTTAGGAAACACATTTACTATCTTATCATTCTGAGCTCTTGAAAAAGGAATGTAAAAAAAAACTGTTTGTACCATTTTCTGTTTTCTTCCAGGTATAAGGTTGCAATCACCAAGCACAAGGACTCAGAACAAACCAGCAGTAGTCTTTACAGTCAAAATGATGTTTGGAGTCCGGCTGTTGACTTCAGCAAGTATATTGAAGACAATGAAAGTATTGAAGACCAAGTAAGTTTGAATATTATTTGGTTTATAATGCAAACAGGGGGCTGTTCAGTGGAGCAGTGAGTAGCACTGCTGCCTTGCACCAAGAAGGTTCCGGGATCAATTCCCAGCCTGTGTTTTTTTTCCGGCATGGATTTTGCATGTTCTCCTTGTGCATGCGTGGGTTCCCTCTGGGTAATCTGGCTTTTGTCCCACAAAAAAAAAAAAAAAAATGTATTTTAGGTATATTGGCCTCTCTAAATTCTCCTTAGGTGTGTGTGTGAATGGTTGTGTGTCCTGTTTGTCTCTGTGTTGCCCTGCTATGGACTGGCGACCTGTCCAGGGTGTTACCCGCCTCTCCCCAACTGGAGATAGGCACCAGCACCCTTTGCGGCCACGCTTGATGATAGATGGATAATGCAAACACTAAAAGCATATGTTTTAGTTTAGAACCTGGTTTAAATGCGTTTTTTTTTTTTTTTTTTGTCTGCAAAATCTGATTGTTTCACGTGGTTGATCACATTTCCAAATATGTAATCTCTTTTTTTGTCTGCAGGATCTTGTTGCTTGGGTGACCACAGGATTCCTTCATATCCCTCATGCTGAAGACATCCCCAACACTGTTACTGTGGGTAATGGTGGTGGAGTCATACTACGACCACATAACTACTTTGATGAGGACCCATCCATCAGTTCTACAGATTCAGTATACTTTAGCCCTGGGACTGAAGACAGCTGTGAGAGCAACAGGATGGCGTGCTTGGCTCATGAGACTTGTAGCCCCACCCTGGAGACCTTCACCTACCATGGCTTTGATGGAGTCATGAAGTTTCATGACTGAAAGTCATTTATTATTTGCTGCTGTTAAATAGGATTACAGCCATGATATTCCAGGAGATCTTACTGTGCTGTGTATAGGAGTAATTGGGTGGTTACAAATTAAATAATTCAATTGATTATATTTTTTTTAATTTAGTTCTATATAACCATCTGCAGTATCCCTCTGCAACATAGACTTTAAAATCAAATTTTGATGGAATTCGGAACTAGAATTCCATCTAATGAAATCTAGGGTAGACAGCGTTTTACTGCAACCTGTTTTTGTGTTCTTTGTCTTATTTTTGTAATTATGCATGTCACCATTAACACATAGTTGCCAGGGCACATAATTTCTAAAAAACAAACACTTTTTTCTTTTTTTTTATAATGCACTGAAAAGCCATTAAACCATTTATAGCACTACTTTAAATTTATTCTAGACATTTGTTCTGCACCCGCCCAGTCATATCTGGCCTGTGTTACTTTCAGTTAGAAAATAAACTACTGGTTTATTTTATAAGAGATAGATGTGTTGCATTGTGGTTTTTATGGTGCAAAAGGTTTTAAAGCCTTTTTTATCAGTGGACTTCCAATGAAAAATGAAATGTAATCAAATTGCCCTAGAATGTAGTATAGATTATTTTTTGTCGTATGATTCGAATAAAGTACAGAAATTGTTTTCTAAAAGTCATGCTTCATAAACCTCCTGTAGATACTTTTATACTTCTACTGTTTTAAAACAAATAGTGCAAAAGACTAAATGTGTATACACCATTACGTCACACTTGCAACATATGGAGAGGAGCTGATGTTTAACATAAAAGTAATAGTTAATATCTTACAACAGAGGTCGCTGTTTGTGCTTTTGTCAGTAAGCAGTAACCAGAGAAATTGCCATGCATTTCAATTTTGAACCAATAGTTATTAGCAAGACGAGGGAAAACATTGCGGTTATGCTCCCTTTTATAAATACAAGTAGAACTGTGATTGATAAAAGAATATTGTTTTAGTCTATTTCAAACTTTTGAGAATGTCCACTTTCCTCTGTCTTCATCCTTAAAGTTTACTAAAATGCCCCAGATGGTTTTTGCCTATCTTTAAAATTTCTTTATGGTAAATGGTAAATGGCCTGTACTTATATAGCGCTTTTTCAAGTAAGGAGACTTGATCAAAGCGCTTAACACTACATTCAGTCATTCACCCATTCACGCATACACTCACACACTGATGGTGGCAAGCTACATTCTTTAAAAGCTTTATTTAACAACTAACATTCTAAAAGAGTCACTTTCATATGTAAGCAGCAGCAGACTACCAACAAGATGTACAATATCAGCCATTCAAAATGGTCCTTCCCAGTCAAACACCAGCTTAATGGCAGCCAACTTCCAGCCACTGGAGTGACCCCCCTCTTGCATCATTTTTTTACTCTGACTCCACCCCTTCACTGAATTACAGGTCTGACTAGGAGATGACGCTTCTCTTTAGATGATAATGTCCACAAAGCACGACAGAAAGAATATTTTAGAACAAAGATTGATGAAAGGAATTGTGGATGACCAGCCAAGGGCCCATCAACGAAAGGAGGGAAATTTTGAATGATTTCTGCTGTAGATGCAAATCCCTGTAGAATGCTAAAAGATTAAAATTAAGAATATAAAATTAAAACTAACAAACAAAGGTGACTTATAAGTAACTTAGCAGAAAAACAGAATTAAATAAGATAAATGCTGAAATGCTAATCACAATTCTAACAGGTTATTGCTGAAAGGCTGACAGGTGTTTAGGTCTTTTTGCTTGTTTCAGTTTTCATGGGTTTTGAACTTTTTTAATACTGATAGAAGTTCGATGACACGTTTAATATATTTTATTTCTTTTACTAAACAAGATTTTTTTTTATGGTTAAGTAAATTGTGATATTTACCTCTCTAAAAGAGGTTGTACAAGTTTCTCCATAACATTAACTGCTAGAGCAGTCACAGAATAGACACATCTTAATTTCTTCATGATATGAGCAAAACATAACTGGGGAAAATCAGTTGTTGATACATTGTTGATTTTTCCAGTTTCCTCCCCAAACAAAGAAAGAGAAATAAACAAAAATCCTTAAATTATATTTTAAATGGTAAATAAGTAATCAATTTGCATTTTCTTTCATGAATTGACGTGAATTGACACAGTAAAAGAAAAAATAACTTCATACCAATACAGAAAATGTATTGACAGTTACAGAGATTGAGAGTAACAATCCACACACAATTTTCCTTCCTGCTATGAGAATATGCAGCAGTCACACAAACTTTGTAAATCCACATTAGTAAACTAAAAACTACTAAACCTTACCCAAATAAACTGAGTTAATTTTGACCACAGGGAGCATACAATGTTATGTCTCTTCATAGGTTTTAGCTTTTGAGAGCAACGGCAGCATCAATATGTCCTACCGTTCTTCAGAATGGATTGTGTTGTCTTTAAGGTTAACCTAATTTGTCAACTATCTTTATTTAGGGATTGCAGCTCAGCTCAGATTTTTTACTCTAATTGTTCATGTTATGACAATCAATAATTGTTTTTTCATGTAAAAACACTTCCCTGAGAACTCTAAAGAGTATTTTTTTTTTTTTTGCCTTGGCATAATATCTTAATGAAGATACTAAATTAAGTCTCTGCAAACCATGTTACATTCCTTTCCAAAATCCTTTGATATAAGTACACTGTCTCATAATAGCAGCAAAGGACTTCATTACAGAGGCAAAGAGCAATTGGGCCAATCCAACAAAGAACACCGTACCTTGCTGATAAGCTACAGAATGTGCAAGTTAATTGTTTAAAATCAGTAGACCATTACTGACACTCGGTCGATAATAGCCCATTTTTCAGCATACTCAGAGAAAGTGTCAAAAGGAAATCACATAATAAGGCAATGGCCTTTGAAGATATATATACATGTTTAAGCTAAAAGAAGTAAAGAGCTAAGTTAAAGCTGCAGCAAAACCTATTGATCATATGTATTAGGGCAGATTTACAGAACAGAGTGTACAAAACAACAGGTGCAGATGGGAAGGCTGAGAATGACCTTGCCCGCACACACACACAGAAAAAGCTGATTAACAAGTGAGCAGAAAAACCGGAAACAACTCCATACATGGGGATAGGAATGCATGGAGTACGTTCACTCTGTAACTTCTTGTGGGACTGTCTGATTCTCCTTGATGAAGATAATAAAAAGAGCCTGTGTTGAACAGGAGGTCAGAGTTGCTGTTCACAGATGTGTGCTGCTGCTGCGCGCTCTCCCCTTTGCAAAAGGCGAATCGAAGCTTCGTTGTCCAACATTCTTTATTTCACTCCATCTATGTGACCTGCACTCGAATCAACTGACCCGGGGAAGCCATGACGGTTTTCAACATCTTAAATGTCAAGAGAAATCAAAATAAGGCATATTACATTTAGTCTGTCCAAATTGTGATCCAGGGTTCCCAACGATTAAACGTCCATCAGGGAATACCTACCCATCATAGCAGAAAAAGGTTCTTTTTAAAGGCGCTGTCACACCTTGATGATTTAGCAAGTATGTCAAGAAATTTTGAGTATGCTCATAATGCTCAAAATTTCTATGCCAGCGTTTGGTCATATGTGGGACATAAGTTACAGGTAAGTTATGTGATCATTGAGACACATGAATGGTAAGTTACTCATAAGTAATGGTGTCTAGCTTATCTAAAACCTATGAGTAACTTGTGCATAACTTATGCATAACTTATTAAGAATTTATCTCCAACACATGTTGACATATGCAGGTATATTATATATGCTCCCAGAGCTTTACCTTCTTGCCCAGTCTCCATTAATCACTTTTCTTGAGATCACAGAGGAT